AAACGATGCTTTAATACAGGTGAATGAATAAGAACTAATCAGTTCTGTTCCTTCAATTTTCTACCCGAACAAAACACATACAGCAGGAGCATTTCTTAAAGATGGGACGAAAGACTAACGACATGTTTATAAGATGTTCGTGAGCATATCTCTCTGTTTCTTAATTTCATTCTACTTTTGAACTATTAGTTCAAAAGTTTTTTCGTCCATTTAAAATGGACGGAAAAAAATAATTAAATGAAAGGAGGACTGCAATGCTAAAACATCTAAAATAATAAAATGACCTATGTCAATCACTCATACAATATACGACTTATGATCACGTGTCGAACACATGTATCGTAACATAAATTTATACGAAATCACGTCCGGCAGCTGCAGACAGAAATGAATTTTAAAAAAGTGTTGTCCCTTTGTGACCGGATGGTGCCGAATGGCAATAAGTGCATTTTTTACTGTTGAGAAGTACTGAATATGTTAGGTTAGCAACAAAGAAAATGACGAAAAAATATTTTCATGGGAAACTAATATTAATTTCAAAATTTTTTTAAACTTTTAGTAGTAACTTTCGTCAAAAATAGAAAATCTTCCAGTTTATCGAGTGTGCTGAACACAAAAAAGTATTTTTCAGTAACTCTAAATGAACCTTATTTTGCTATCGGTGATATGAGCAGTTTTTTCCGTTCACTTTATGGTACCAAATATACTAACTTACAAAAATTTTAGATACTGATCGAAATTACCACAATCTACTCTAATGCACCATGACACGACACATCCGCGAATACGATGCCGATACTAAAGCATAAAATTGGTTTCTTTGTCTTGTTGTTAAACAGATAGTTTCTTTAAAGTTTGTGAAATTATATCGATCGTTAAACATCTTAAATAGAAACAATTAATATAAATATATCGCACACGGTGTTTTAGTAGGAATTAAACAAAAATGTTATAGATAGTAATAAACATTTTGTATTCTATTGTGAGATTATCAAATTAGTTAGCGCGCTTTATTCCCAGATCAGTTGAGCAATTAATACAGATATAAAAAGTCATGTAGATCTAAGTACGTGTCTAAATAACAAGCATTTAAACTTTTCTGTTAAATTATTTAAATAAACATGATGCAATTTAACCTTTTATGATTCTTTCTTCAATGACCTTTATGAATCCTTCTTCAATGTAATAAGCATTTGTCGTGTCTCGGTTTCTCATGGTGGTCGCGATAAAACTCTTTGTGAGGTGAATTCTCATTATTCGTGGGTTCCTAGTCCAGGTATTGAAATTTTTTTAAAACATTGTACACCTTGCCAAGTTAGAAAACCAGTCAAACAACATGTAGTGTCCAAACCAATAATATCCTTAGGTGTCATGACACGGTTACAAATCGATTTAGTTGACATGCGTACTATACCAGATAAAATTTAAATCAGATGTTGTTTTTAATTGGATTTTAAATTGTATCGATCACTTTAGTATATTTTGCTGGGCCTTTCCGTTGAAAATTACATCGGCTGTGGATGTTTCTCTTAAATTAAGAGAATTATTTTTTGTTTTTGGGGTATCTTTTCTTTTTGTCTATCTTTCTCTTAGTGGTCTATACGGTTTCTGCTGCAGATACTTTATCAAGTTCACCAACTGGTATTATAAGTTCGTCCGTTTTTTTTACTGAGAAGAAAAAAAACAGAAGAGAAGCGTAATTTCGAGAAGCTCTCTTGGATATTTCCAACATACCTTTTGCTACATCTTTCATTTTTGCTTGATGATCAGGCGTAGACATGTGACGGCTGATCGCGTATGCTCCACCACTGCTAATCGAAAACTGTGAATTACAGACACAACATAGTGCTCTTGTTTTGAATTGAATTTAACTTCTCTCAAAAAATCTTTGTATTTCTCGTTGTTCAACCATTCCTTTTTAAAACGACAAGCACGTTTCGTAGATAGTTTAGCTGATTTGTCTAGCTTATTAATTAAATTTTTTCTGAACTTTCATTTTTAAAATCAGATATTACTTATTTAAAAGTAATTAGACAAGCATAAAAAACGAGATATTTAGTCGAGGAATAAAATGTGAATTTGAACTTAAAATATGTACAAAGAATGAAAATGTTATTGTATTCGATTTTTGTTTCGTTTCTTATAGTATAGTCAATTGTGTAAAGAAGTTTTATTTTCACTTCTATTTCAATGATGCGACCTGAAAGGCGTGAAAAAAGACAGAAAGAAAAAAAAATTATCTTTTTCTTTTATCGCATGTAGGCAGATATATCTGTCACGCAGACTGTATCTCACATAAGAAAAAGCACTAAACGCTAGGTCTATTGAAATGAAAGCGGAATCAAAAGCGCAATATCCATTGAAGACAGTCAGAAGAGCACATCCTCTAAAAGAGGGACACCCGGTGGGACAGATTTCCACGGGGGACAAGTCTTTAAATATGGGACTGTCCCCCTTATGGGGGGACATCTGGCAACCCTGCTTCGGCTCCAAAAGATGTTCATCTTTGCTTGTTTTTCTTTCGATTGAATTTTTTAAGCTTTCAGGTAAGGAAAAATATGAAAATGAAAATCGTTTTCAAGTACAAATATGCTCTATAACTGCATGATATATAAGATGCACGTAGGGGAAAGATCGAGCAGAATTTAGTTTTCTATATTTCACACACCATTCGATAGAGAATCGCGCGCTATTCACGAATATGTGTTCTCGGTCTCTCAAAACCGTTTCCTCGCTGAGAAAATTGTAAAATACTATGAAGAGGTCAAAAACCCGGCTTTTCACGCCTTTTTTTAAATTTGAGTTTTCTAAGTTTGGTTACAACTTGGAACGTTCAAACTCAGATATTCTTCTTCAGCGTTGAAAAGTGAACTAGAGTGTGGAATAAAAGTCTTTATATACCTAGACTCAATATTTTTACATAATTAGATTCGCCGGATGCTCCTCTTCAAAACAACGGCTCGCTTTTTCAAAATTCCATTCTCTCGTCGGGAAAACTCGACTTTACTGGGAGACATCGAAATTCTGACCATAATTCGCGATTTTCTCAATTAGAACTCAACTTTCACGCAATGAAAATATCATATTCAGAATTAGCGTCGAAAATCGAGTCGAATGATATACTTTTTTTATCTTATTCGATCACTTTAATTCTTTGAATTTTCACGTCGAAGGAAGAACTGAGATTTTCATCCAAAAATTAAAGTGATCGAATAAGATAAAAAAGTATATCATTCGACTCGATTTTCGACGCTGATTCCGAATATGATATTTTCATAAATTTTGAGAAAGTTTTTACATGAATCGATAGCTGAGCCTCATATATATCTACCTGTGCAATCCTGTCAACGTGAATCCTTTAAATGTGGGACTGTCCCCCTTATGGGGGGACATCTGGCAACCCTGCTTCGGCTCCAAAAGATGTTCATCTTTGCTTGTTTTTCTTTCGATTGAGTTTTCTAAGCTTTCAGGTAAGGAAAAATATGAAAATGAAAATCGTTTTCAAGTACAAATATGCTCTAGTTTGCTGGGGGTTTTTTCGACGTTTTTGTGAGTATTCAGCTTGTATGCCCTGTCCTACATAAGCAAAAACTCAGAGAAAGAGCTCTATAAGGGCATGTATTCAGATGTCCTCTATCGAACAAAAAAAATTGTCTGCAATAAAGAGTATTAGAGTTTTCTTGTTTCAAAAACAGGATATTTTTCGCCCTTGATTGATGAATATCTCGGAAAGATGTCATAATATAGAGCTGAAAAGTTTTCTATATTAATTTCGTAACATATCTAACATATCCTGAAAATTTTATGAGATTTCACCATAACGTTTTCTAGATCATATTTTGAGAAAAGCGTAAGCACAAAAAAAGCTTAGGTACGGCGCTAACTAATCATCAAATGAAATTAATTTTTGCTGTGTTTCATTATAACATTTCAAATGGTTTATTGCATTACTCTACATAAAAAGTAATAAATCAACCATAAGTTTCTTTCAAGTGCTGTTACAAACTTACGTGTAATTTGTTCATCTTCATCATTGTCTTGTGTATATGGATTTAATGAAAGTATTGTTGATGCTGGTCTTTGTGCGCTTGGTATACCTTGAAAAGATGAAATAAACTAACTGTATAATAAAAGAAAAGTGTAAAATAATCCTACATACTTTCATCTTTGTCATCATCATCATCACCAATATCTTCATTTGCTGGTGCTACAGGACTAATATCACCTAAAAACAAACACATATATTTCTAAAGAGCAAAAGCTAGACTGATACTATACAGATGATTCCTGTGTCTAAGGCCATTATAAAAAAACAAAAACATATTGCAGTAGAAAACATTTGTTCCTCCAATTTATGAAATGAGTAAAGTTCAAAATATTTACTCGAGCTATGAAAGAAAATTGTGATTGATTTATTATTATATACGTACGTATAGTAGCCATACTTTCATTCCAAAATTTTACACATTGTTCATTTGTACCTACAATTTTTGGCATGGATAATTAACAAATTAGAGAAGAATAGAAAACAGTCAGATAAATAGATTAACTTACCACTACAAAGAATTTTGCCAATTATTTCCTGTTTGTTATATAAAACAGTTGTTGTTGTTTCTGTTAATTTTCTAACTGATGATCTTGGTACTATTTGCGTTTGTTTTATTGACGAAAAATTCACTAAGAAATGATCACTTGGTACACGATTAGGTGGTGTATATGGATGAGTTGGCTTCTTTTTACGTTTATTACTTTGTGTAGCAGTAGCCATGTTTGTGAAATATAGTTAAATATCTAAGTTCCTCTCTTTATAGCTGGATGATTCTTTCGAAAACGTACCACGTTTACATCGACTTTATCCAGATTGTTCGAGAGTAACAGGACTAGTATAACTTGGACTCCTGATGACGAATAGCACGTTTAAAAGATTCTGAAACAATGGTACGGTGACCTAGAACTGTGAAGATCCCACTTTCCAGCAGAATATACCTTTTTTGGACATTCTTACCATTTTTGAGTGAAACACTTTCATGAGCTGATACCGTCAGATTAGATTGTATATGTGTAGAGCTACAAAATCACTAATGGATACAAAGTTCCAAAATATTAAGTGCGCTCTCAGAGAAATTTTAAAAAATAGTCCTTTTTTCCGAATAGTAGACCTTTTTTCTAACCCACATTTTCCCCATAAAGTCATATCAACACAAGACCGCAAGGTGAGGTGTGCACTCGACGCGTCTTCTCAAGTTCTATAAGGAGTTCTCACTGAGATTAAAAAATATTCAATGACAGAAAAAATAAACTTTTAAAGGCGATTTTTCTCGCTTTTCAAAGTTCGAATACGTGCTGCACCATTCCATGGGGTTACAGGACGTGGGATGACATATATCTCGCATATACTCGACGTAGGTTATTAGAGAAGCAGATTTTCATCTTTGGTCAAGCAATTTCAGAAAAGCGTGTTTTTCAGTAGAAATTCCACAGGCTTTTTGTCTATCATTGAATATTTTTTAATCTCAGTGAGAACTTCTTATGGAGCTTGAGAAGACGCATCGAGTGCACACCTCACCTTGCGGTCTTGTGTGGATATGACTTTATGGGGAAAATGTGGGTTAGAAAAAAGGTCTACTATTCGGAAAAAAGGACTATTTTTTAAAATTTCTCTGAGAGCATACTTAATATTTTGGAACTTTGTATCCATTAGTGATTTTGTAGCTCTACGCATATACAATCTAATCTGACGGTATCAGCTCATGAAACTTTCATGAGCTGATACCACTTGATACCAATATTTTAACATTAAAATAGTAGTCGAAAAAAAATATTTTACTAAAATTTTGAGGTTTTTCTGGAAAAGCCTGAATACTTTAAGC